AGGAATCCCCCGCAGGGTGCCCGTGCCGTGTACCCGCTGCTGTCCCCAGCGCGGCCTGGCAGTGCACCCTCCCGGGCGGGATGTGACACTGGGCAGCTCTGAGCCGCTTGGCTGTCGCGTGGAGGGGAAGGTCAGGCTTGAAAGTGGAAAGTTGTGATATTAATCGTGTTGGGACTGTACCTTGCACACTTTGCAAAGTTTTCTCCTTGTATCTGAGCTGGGAGTACAGCAAGAAGCTGTATCATTCTCTCGATAACTTTGACATCCACTTATGGGAGGTACGTCATGCCCTGTTAATGCTGGAGCTGTTGGCTTCGTACACCCTGGCTGTTACAATCCAGAGGTTTGTCCTCCTCGTGGGACAAGTGCAGCCAGAAGACTTAGCGTGGAAAGGAAACTCCCCAGGTGCCAGCCACAAAGTTCAAGTGCAGATCCAAAAAGTATATTCTGGGAAATGGACCTGATATTCCTGGTTGTTTAGCTACCTTTGTTCCCAAATTTGGGTGGCTGCACTAAAAGTGGAGCTGTGGACTGCCATTCATGGATGGTGACAGTGTCACCCTCGAGTGTTGCTCCGCTCTCTCAACAGCTGGTGTGTGTCTCCATAATGCCAACACCCCTTTGGTTCCTTGGAACAGAGCAGATGTGCTTGCCTTTTCTGTTCCTGCTGCTGTGAGCTTGATTCATGTGCCAGGAAAGAGTACAGGGAAGACATCTCTCCAGGGTCAGTCTTCTTTAGTTGGGGGATACTTGCTATTCATCCTACTCTGAGCACTACAAACAAGAATGGAAAAGGGACTACTCTGACACAAATGTCAACACTGGCCTTTCACTTAAGTAATTTTTGCTTCCTTGGTGTTTTCTCTCTTGATGTATTTCTTTGGGTAGCAGTTCTTTCATTTCCCTATTGATCTTTGTCAACTAAAGAGACCTGGTTCTTTAAGTAGTGTTTTGTGTGATGAACTCATCAGTCTTCATGTTAGGGATGGGAACTACTCTTCCACTTTGAAACTGCATTGATCAGGATCAGAATTCAACTCTGCATTCCAACAGTCTCACTGTTGCCTTAGGAGATGTAGGAAAAAACAGTCCAACATTTATCCTATATGTCTTAATATCAGTCAGGGTCATTAAAAATGTTAAAAGACATGTATCCCAGTATATAGAGAGGAATGATTTTATTAGTAACCCCAGCTTGATGCCTCCCAGTTTTTGTACATTATTGATTCTGTCCTTTGGCCAGTTCTGTACAACCTTTGATACTAACTCTTATCTTTTGCATCATAAGTAATATTTCTCTTGTGGCAGTGTATGATATCTTTTATCCAGGAAAAAATCTTTCAAGAAAATGTAGGGTTTTGCTTGATTGATCTACTTTTATGGAACATGCACTGCTCAGCTTTTGTCTAGTTATGTTTTCTTCCATATCTTTGTTCTTTACTTTTGCATATTTAAATATTTTGATGGGGTTATCATTTTTCAGAGCTCTCTTTCTGCCTCACGTGGGCTTTGTGTTTGTTATTTTCCAGCAGATGGTACCATCCCTGTTTTCATTACCTAGGTTTCAGTTATGTATAGATTGAGGAAGAAAAAGTACATTCTTTCCAACCTGTGCTGAATGTGATTCAACCTCTCTGTGGCTTGGTCCAGGTCCAGTGCGTATTGAGTAACTTCTGTTTCTATAATTCAATTCTTTAGGTTGTCTTTTTGCTCCTATCATTAAAACCAAGGCAAAACAATCAGTTGTGTTTGGGACAAAGATTTGTTAGTTTTCCCAGCTTGGTTGGTTTATACTACATCCACTCATTTTCTCCATGTTTGCTTTATTTGCAACTTAAGTCTTCTCCAAATTTCTGATTCATTTTCCTGTTCCTGCATATTTTTCAATCCTCTTTGAAATCTGCCCATTTGTGTCAGAAGTTCTGTCCTGTTTGGTTTTCCCTTGCTATAGGTTGCAGATGACTTTTGCTCATTTTGACTTAATGAAATTTCAAGACTGATCTCAAGGAGTTTTGTTGTTCAAGAAGTTGAATCAGAAGACTGATTTCACGATCTGAGTCCACCAGCTCTTTGGTTTCTCTCACTGCTAGTTTTCTTCATTTCTGAAAGGTTGCGCTTTCGAAATGGAAAGCCTTACTTAAAGACTAAGGGGGTTTTTTTTGTTTGGTTTATCCTGCCATTAATTGAAATTGAATAATTCATGATTGCTCAGACTGAGATTTCATTGTTATTTGTGGTTTTGACACTAATTTTGGTGTCTACCTCTGCTGCTGGCATTTAGATTGGTCATGTAGCAACAGAATGAAATTCACATTATTCTTCATGCCATCACTACGTGGAGAATTCACAAATGTGGCAGTGAAGGTAGATAAAGCTTTAAGCATAAAGATGAATTATAGCATTGTGGATTGCTGCCAGGTAAGGAGACTAAAATGGAATCTCTTCACATTGAGAAGATTATTTTTGCAACTCTTCAGTCCAAAATGCTGTTGTTTCTGCAAGCTTGCACTGAGCAGAAGTTAATACTGTCCATTGCCCTTCATAGGGAGCTCTTCTTGTTTTGGTGGTAATAGGTAATTAAAGGAGTTTTCAAGGCCTGCTTTATTCATTGATTATATCTGCAGCTACAGTTTTAGGACTGTGTGTAATAAATGCTGTAGAGGGTTGTGGATCAGTAAAATTCTCTTCCTTTCCATGAGATTAATTCAGTGATTTCTTTATGGCTATTTGTGATGTCCCAACAATAGGACTAGTACACATTTTCCATCCTGCTGGGAACATTCAGCAGAAAGATCCAGGGTAGCACTCTCCTAGACATTACTCATAGTTCTCCTGGTTGCTTGTAAGGTCAGTTAATTGCAGCATTGATATCCCTCTTCCTTAGCTGATCTGTAGATAATACTATTACGGTTTTTAAAATAGTCCCAAATCCTGCCTGAACAGTTTGCAGTCAGAGAAGAGCTTCAGTTTATCTCCCAAGTGTTATGCAGCTCCATGCATTGCATATTACAAAACAGGTGTCACGAACTGCAGATATACATGTGTCATTCATTTTTGGAGCTGGTTTAAAGTGACATGGACATGTAGATTGCCTGTTCCAGCCCAGGCCATGAATTGTGCAGTTTATCTCCAGGGTAGTAGAATCATAGGTTTCCAGCTGTGCTCTCTTGACCCTCATGCTCATTTATAGGATTTTGGGGTTTTTTACAGGGTAGCAAGGAAAAATAGCACCTGTTGTTCACAGTTTTCCCCTCTCTAACGTCTTCTAATCTCTCACTTTTCATCTCAAAGAATAGGCAAATATTGGTTGCCTTCTCTAAGGTGAAAGGCACAAAACTCCAGCTAGAAATGATTGTAAATTCTACAAAAATGTAGAGGACAAAAGCAAGAACTAAGCTGATACGACTTGTAGTATGTAGTTTGGAGGGATCTTGCCTTGTATGAATGAAATCTGTCTCTCTCCTGTTCACACTTGCAACTGCACGAGTGCCATAGAAGCTGTATAATGCTTGACAGGCTGTTTCAATTGGGTTATCTATTATTCTGGCACTTTTCCTGCAGATTTGAAACCTTTATTTACATGGAGAGGAAACCCTTTTTGTCCCTCCTTGGTTATTTATGAGTGGAAGCACAAATTTTTTAGCTTATACTGTATCTATAATAATCTATCACACATTGTTTTCTATTATTTCTTTTACCTGAGGCTGTTTTTCTGCTGTTTATACAGTTTTCTTTTTAATCCAGTTAGGATTTCTCAAGTAAAACGTTCATTTGGGAGTAGGAGACTGTAACCAAACCACTTAATTCCTGTCACTCTCCTCCTTTGTCTTTCTACCTGGCAATTGGAAGTCTGAACACTTTCTTCAGCAACCTTATGTTGGAAGAGACAACCTCATACTTATAATAGTGAGAAAGTGAGCAGGAGAGCTGAAGTGAAAGGTGCCAATTCTCTGACTGGGTAACAGAATAAAACCATGTGACTTGGAGGAAGTAGCAAACAGTTTTGCAATGAGTTGTGTACATCCTTGCTGTGAAAACACAACTAAGAATATCCGATGTTCATCAGAGCTTTAAAAACATAATAGCTTGTTACTTAAACAATAAGAATTGTGCTGAGAAAGCTGAGAGATTAGTGGCAGTATCTGGCAGCCTAATGATAAGCCTTCCCTGCCTTGAGTACTCTCCAAGGTGGCCAGACTTTCCAGAGAAACTGTGCGTGTGGTAGTAATGCTGCAACAATTGCTTTTTGTCATTTACCTATAAGAACACAAAGTTAATAAAACATTTGCAAATAAACTTTCCCTTTCTGGTGGCTGAATGGAGTATGGATATCTAAGCATGTACATTTGCCAGCCTCATTCTGTAGTCAGGCTAAAATTTGGATGGGGTTTTGTGTGTTGGCATCACGTAGACTTCAGTCTTCCTGACTTTTCATGCAGAAGATTAGCTCTTGCATCATGCCTGCCATTGGCTGTATTAAGCTGCATTGGGATATCAGATTTCAGTTTTGGTTGAAGACAGTGGACTGTGTTTACGTACATTAAGAAGAATTTGGTTATTTTAAAATGGTGACTGTTTTTCCTGGTTAGTCTTTACAAGCAGAGAAGAATTTTTTTCCCTCTAGTCTGTTAAAATCTGACTGTCAGAAACCAACTATTCCAGTCTTGACCATTTCATTTTTCTCTTGAAAACAGCCTTTACTTCTCTAACTAAAGTTCAGTTTGTTTAATGAGCATGTTCCTCCCACAGATAACTTGTCCTGGAGTGCTGCTGAAAGACAAAGAGGAACTTTATCTCAGTGTCTATGTATTTGGGCAGTGCAAAAAAACTCAACGTGTCCCTGCAGTGTTTCCACTCTTCTTTCAAGAAAAACTAGTATTTGAAAAGGTAAGATATGTCAAGAGTTAATACAGCCCAAATAAACCCCATTCTAAATTGCACAAAAACTCTCTGCAAAGCCCTGAGCACAAGTAATCACACTAAGAATGGCACAGTAGTATAACTCCTCCTTCTCTTCAGCAAGAAGGAGGTATGTGCCTGTACTATTGATAACGTGGGATAAAATGTTTCTAAAATCATGGTAGCTAAAGTAGGCCTTAGTGGCAAGCTAGCTGAAATAGGCCTTCATGAATTGAGAATTATGTCTACTGAAGATTATATGTATGATGAGACTTTTTTGGTGTTTGCTTATTCTTTTGTGAACTGTCCTTTCTCAGCCTCTGTTTTCCTGACTTGGAAGGAACTGAATGTTGTTGTTTTAAAAATTACGGCAAGGTGAAGAACAAAGACTGCACAATATAGGAGAGTCAGTTTAGTAGAAAGGGAATAGCAGCTCAAGCCTTTTTGGTGGCATCTTACTCCCTTTGAGATACTTTTTTCATGGTTTGTCACCAGAATTCCCAGACTGGTACTCTGGCTCTATAATTTAGAGTTGTTTATCACATGTTCTGAGTCCCTACTAGCTTCATTATTAGTACCACAGGAATAATGAAACACATATTTTACAGATATGATCTGGCTTCTTGTCTACCTATGAATAATAATACTTTGCCCTTTCTAGTTCTTTTCCTTTAAGCATCCCTCAGCACTTTGAAAACCAGACTGAGTAAACACCAGTGATGCTCTGGTGATGTGGGTAAGAGACAAACAGTGATAATTTCACTAGCTACTGAAAAGTAAAAAAGACCATCATTCTTTAAAGTGAAACATACCACAAACTACTTCAGGGAAATGTACTGAATATTGTTTTCAGTATGCTTTAGGGGACCTCCAAGATACCATCTACTCAGAAAAGAGGTGTACAAGAAAGCTGAGAATATCTGTCTTCTTACAAATAGCTATTGATTAGGTCTAGATACTTGTAGAGCACCAGTACTTTGTGGTTTTTAGTGTTTAGTACCTTGAACAGCAAAGTGATTTACACCACTCAGCTGAGACTTTTCTACAGAATAAAGGGGAAATCTATTACATTCTGAATACCCAGTACACTATCTTTCCC